CCCCAAAACCCCAAAACCCCAAAACCCCAAAACCCCGGCATCTCCAATATTTATTGACAATAAATTTTAGACAAGATCACCAATTATAAAATGAATGAGGAGATATCCCTAGAGGACAGTATTCTTACTTGGGTTAACAGCTTCGACTGCATCCATTCTAAAGTGGCCAATTTTGGTCAGCTTTGAGAGGGATTTCAACTACTTGAGATTCTCCATACAGTTGATTCCTCTCTATGGAGCCTAAAGAACTCCTATAAAAGGAACTTAAAGTCCAAAAGTTGAAATTTTGAGACCCTAAATACAATATTCAAAGGAGTACAGAGATTTAATGAAACAAAACTTGAAACTAAAGTTGCTGATAACCTAATCGACTTAAAGGTAATTTTGCTCACCGATAATGGCCCTGAACCCCTAGTTCTTTTCTCTCTTTTCTTTCCCTCCCATTTTCCCTGCGATTAGACGTTCCAGAACTTCCAAAATACTTGTTTTAATTCAAAATGTAGGCATGAGCAGAGCTTACCTCAGTTATAAACGGTAAGTTGATACAAGAAATACACAAGACTTCCTCCTCTTCCAAAGGGATTGGGATGCATCTCCTCTACAGTGGTAATTAGTCTCTCCAATGAGCCTCATAAATTACCTCTATAGAGTCATACAGCAGGAACGAACTCCTGAAATTATGAGAAATGGTTGTTGACGTCACCGTAAAATGCGACCACAAGGACAAGTTCATTCACAAAATCCTCCAACTTGATGAAGCTACACAGATGGGGCTGATGAACTGTATCCAAAACAATGAGTTGTTGCTCAAACTCACTAAAGAACAAAGCTCCTTAGATGAGAACATTGTTAAGGAAAAGGACAACCCAGTCTTACATTTCTTGAGCTTTAACAGCCAGTCTACTGATTTAGCATCTCAAAATTGAAGCTTCTCCAATATTGAAAAGATCAACCTGAACCTCAGCTTTAATAGCCCAAACAGTTGAGTAAGCCAATCATTATGCGAAGAAGAAGGAAAGTTAACAATCGAAACTCCTGAGAAGCTCCAGAGCAGAGTCAAAGCTCTGGAGTATCATAAGAAAATCTCAAAGAAGACTCAAAGCGATCTCCTGACTCAGTAAGCCCTCCATGCCTAATTTTGTAGAATCAAAGAACAAAATGACGTAATTTCTACATTAAAATAAGGAAAAGAAGAGACTAGTCAGAGAGAATGGGGCTCTAACTCCAGCCAAAAAGAAGCACTCTAGAATGCCAAAGGAGGCCTTAGAGCTGATCACAAACCTCGAGGCTGAGCTTGATCGTGCAAAGACTGAAATCATCCAGCTCAAAGATAAGAATAGAGCTTCTGAGACCCTCTACTCTAAATATTTTGATGAGAGTAGCGAGGAAGGCTACTTCTTGAATGATAGACTTGATTCGCTCACAAGTAAGCATCTAGCCTAATCTCATAGGTGAGAACGATAGCCTGAAGAGCAAACTTGTAGACCTCCAGACCAAGGCCAACCTGAGCGAGGCCTACAAAATCAAATTAGAAAAAATCATAGAATATAAAAATAAATATGAATCACTCCAAAGTGAGAACGAGGATCTCAAAAAGGAGATCTTCAATTTTGAGCTACAAGCTAGCAAAGAGCGCTCCTTCCAAGAGATTTATGAGGACAATAAGCAAGAACTTCTATCAGCCAAGGCTGAGCTTCATTCTTGTCAGATAGAGCTGAAGACCTCAAGAGGGGAAAATATAGACTTACGTAATGAGATAACCAGACAGACCAAAAGTTATAAAAATCAAGAGTTGCGTATCAAGCAGCTCGAATATGAGCTTAGCTTAGCTCATAAAGAATCTCTTCAGGAGCCTTCTAGAAGCGAAACACTTGCTGAAAACCTTAAGTATGAAGCCAAAATCAAAGCTCTTGAACAAGAAGTGATTGAGCTCAGAATTCAGAATGATGACTATGCTAATAGCCAACTCATTAAGCTTGAATTAGCCCTAGATAATCAAAAGAAAGAAACTGAGAAAACTCAAGCTGAGAAAGGATATTATGAAGAAAGATGATCTCTACTCGAAACTCAAAATTATGAGCTTAAGAACAGAATAAACTCATTGAAAGAAGGTAAGTAGAAGCATTAACTATATCATAGCAAATCAATCTACCAAGATAAAGCTACTTCAGTATACTTCTGCTACAGCGCAGGCTCAAGAACTCTCTCTAAGATTAGCCTCGATGACTACCAGACTTCAAAACCTCGAACAAGAGAAAGCAAAGTTACAGGCTTCTCTCAGTATAGCGCCAACATTGAAGGATCAGTTACAGTCCTTCTTCGACGAAAACTTGAAAACCCTTAGTAAATTATTTGATCATAATCTTTAGATTCAGTAAATCAGTTTTCAAAGCCTCAAAATTCTTCGACCTCGCCTCTTTCTGGTGAGGAGCAAGTAAGGCTCTTGAAGAGCCAAGCCAATAAGCTAAAGAAGGAGCTGCTTGTTTCTAAGATGGAGAACAAGATCTACAAGACTGTCTTCACAATGGTAACCAAGCTCGATTCGAACTCATTCTTGCACATCTGTGTGAGGTTCATGAAGATGTGATATGTCATGTTTGTTAAAGTATCCCTGGCTCATCTCCATTCAGGCAAGAAGATAGCACTGAAATATTTGTACTCTGGTGCAAAGAAATCCCAGTAGGAGATCTTCAAACCTAAGAATCAAAGATGTTTCAACTCGGGTCATATTCGTGAGAATTGCTCATCTAATTCTGTATTTGAACTCTAAGAATACTTAAAATTACTAATAAGAGGTACTAGGATAATTTTTTACTAAATTCTTGACAGAATTAAACCAATTCTTCAATATATAGGCCTTCTTTCTGGCTCCCATCAAGATTTGTACTTGATTCCTTCAATTTTACTAACTTTTAAGTTATTTAGACCCTTAAAGATAACTTGTGTATGATGGAAGGGGCTTTGGCGTCAATTTAGTTGTCAGAAGTCAAATAGATTTTAAACCCATAGAATTTCGAAACTTCTAAAGAACTGACTGAAACTTTATGTGCAAGGAGCCATCTTTAGTTTGCTCTAAATACCCTTTGTACAATATTTTATGAAGTTGAGGGGTTTTGGGGTTTTGGGGTTTTGGGGTTTTGGGGTTTTGGGG